CAAAGCATGGCTCGTTGAAGGCAAAGGTCTGAGGAATGGCAAATCACAACTGGTAGCATAGCATGCTGATTACTTGTCTCCATGCACAAATAAGATATAGACCCTAGAGGCCACAGGCTCACATGCACAATTGCTTGCTTGCCTGAGTAGCCAGGCAGGAATTAAAGTAAAGCATGCTGAATATTATCCACATTTACCTCCTGGGTAATAATGCAGTCTTTCTGGTGGTGGGTGGCTTTTTTACCCCCTTGACTATGTTAGCGTATGTGGATGAAATCAGCCAGCAAGTGGAATGGAAAGTGAAGGACCGCTTTCCCTGGTGGTAACCACAGTTACCACCTCTGGTGGAGGCAGCAGCAAAAATCGAAGCCACTGATAGTGCTTCAAGAGTGATTCTCAAAACTACTCTGCCAATCATGTTTAGACAGATGGATTAACAGTAGAATAAAAAAACAAACTGAAAAATCTACCATAAGAATGATTTTTTCTAATGATGTTTGTAAATAGGATCACAGGTCTGCATCTTGTACAGCAATTAACCACTAAGAAGAATATATGCAGTGTATTATTTGTTGAAACTACTTTCGATTTGATTTGAAACTGTCTCATTGCTATTTGTTTATCAATAAAACTTTGAAAAGAAAAAAAAATTTAAAAAATTAAAAAAAAATATACCATAGTGGTAAGTCTGTAAATGATTAACATGACCATTCTTACATTTATTTATTTATTTATTTATTTATTTATTTATTTATTTTTGCTACTGAGGATTGAACTCAGGACGTTGTACTTGCCAGGCAGGTGCTTATGCTACTGAGCTATATCTCCGCCCATTAATTTTTGATAAATGCTTCCTCTGTCTGCAGTACTCTGCAAGGAAGCTTTGGAATGCTGTAGTTAGTCATTGATTTTTCAGAACATGCAGTTATGGTTGTTTCTTTTGAACTGGTTTTTTTTAACTAGAAGGGTCTCCTTCAATTCATGAGACACTGTTTTGCTCTGTGGTTCCTCAAAAGTGTAAAGAAGCCTCTGTTTTCAAGGTTGAAAGATATGTCTGAAAAGCCAGTGCACTGAAGAACTCCATGACTCTTACAGTTCATTTTAATCCAAAATTATCACTTCCTATTGGGCTGTTTTTGATGAATCACACTGCTGTGCCTAATTATGGATCTTAAAAGCACAGAGCATAGAAATGGAAAGCTAAACACTCTGAAATTTAGAGGGACAGTGGTTTTTTTCAACCCACTGATTACCCCCATGCTATAAGTAGGGACCTGCAAAGCTAATTGGTCATGATTTCCACTATAATGTCATTAAAGTTAAAGTGGCTTTAGAAAAAAGTGTGGTGTTCCTCATTCACATGTGCTTAATAATTTTCCACCCAGTAAAGGAAGATCATAATTTCAGCTCTGTCCAGGTAACCTAGAATTCTTGTCCTATAAATTGAAACATTTATTGCTGCCCCTAGGGAAACAGAGGAAGGGCAAGCAGGTCACTTTCTACTGACAGAATTTTTGTTGTGGGGAGATTTCTCTGGGGAGCTCTGCACAGTACCCTTGTCCATGTTGTGAGAGCAAGGAAATCCTGGGAAGCAGCCGGCTGTGCTGAGGAGGTCACACACAGACTCAGGCACTGCCAGAGGCCCCACCAGATTCTAAGAGTTTCTAAGGAGAACCCTCTTATTTCTGTATCCATTAATAGTAACTTTGTTTTGTTTAAAGCTACTTTTTTAAGGCAAGAATATTGACTGTGGGCTTGTTATGCTTTAAAGAACAGATACTGGTTTCTACTGTAGGTTTTGATGAGGTTTATTTGAAAGAATATTCAAGAAGATAAAGAAGAGAATACAGTCTCAGCTGCTGCATAGGATGTGAGGGGATCTGGCTGTGATATCTGTCACCTCATTTATTGCCAGGGTTGATCCAGAGGATCTGGCTGGCAAGGCAGGTGTCCCCTTTCTCCCTCCACGCTCCCTCCGTGCTAAGTGAAAGAGGACGGACTCCCCTCCCCTCCTTGGAGGACAGTTCCTCCTTTGAGTGTGTACCAGTATCTGTGCTCCCCTGCTAGAATCTCCAAAATAGCTCTCACCTGCTGCACAGTCAGACTTCATGGGAATCTGGAATCATATTAGGGTATTGTACAAGTTCAGTGTTGCTTGTTTCTGTTCACTGTTTCAGTCTCATACCTATGCTTATCACAGTATTCCTAACCATTAGTTGAATCTATGAATTTCCAGTATGCTATACCAATACGCTCTTTATGCTGTGTCCTCAGCCATTGTCCATTCACAATACAGCTTCTGTTCCCTTTGAGCCTTTGCAGCTACAGCTTCCCTTCTCTTGCCATGATCTCATGTGTAGATTGTGTATTTCTTATTCAAATGGAAGTTCTGCTTGGATGAATCAAGTAGATACTACTGTATCACAGTATAATAAGCAGGTGTGCGTGGTGGCCATTGGGTCAGGACCCTGGTCCTCATCCAGTTATCTATGGTCAACTCTCATGGTCACAGAGTATAAGGTCTGGTCTTGTTCATAAGGGGAATATGGTTATAGCAGATGGTTAGAATGTTATTCCCATAATAATCACAGTTGATCAGTATTCACTTATGTGTGGACTACATTCTAAGACATAGGAAAATGCCCTATAAGGCTACTTTATGGTGGTATTCCAGAACTTGCCACAGGGAAGTGTATATAGTAGGGACTGGAAAAAACACTGGCCTGATGGAGGAGAAAATTACAGGGCACTAATGGAAAAGGTTAAAGAATAAGGCAAAGCTAGGTGTGGTGATTCATGCCTGGAATTCTAGCACTCCAGAAGGCTGAGTCAGAAAGATTGCAAGTTTGAGCCCCATCCAGGCAATTTTGCAACTTAGTGGGCTGAGGTTTTACTGCTCTGCTCAGACTAGTCTCAGAATTTGAATGCAGGGTGATCTTTCCCCCTCAGTCTACTGTGCAGCAGGGATTACAAGTGTGTCACCACAACCAATGAGCAACTTGTATATATAATAAGTGGCAAGCCACATATAGTTTCTAATCAGAGAAAGCTCAAACCGAGAAAGACTCCATCCTACTTTGCTTTTGCATCATGTTGGAAGACAAGTGTGTACCATAAATAAAGCACTTCTAATTAGAGGACAATTGATTGGTTGTCTTTTTGAGACAGGGTCTCACATGCAGTTCAGGCTGGCCTTAAACTCATTTGTAAGCCTAGCCTGGCCTGGAACTCACAGCAGACCCCCTGCCTCAGCCTGTCAAGTGGTGGGATTATAGGTGTCCACCACATTGCCTTTAGGATTTTGTCTTTGTAGTGAGAGTGTTGGCCCAAACTTATAAATTCCAGAGCTTTTCGTTTCTTCCATAGAATGTTACCATCCTTAATGCCATTGTAGCAGAAGAGGAATGTTACCAGGAACATTATCAAGATTAGGATTTGTTGAAAGGGCTGTTACACATTGAGATGTTTAAACCAACCTGGAAATCTGATAACTTTTTTAAGATTAAAAAAAAGAGAGAGTTAATCTTTAAAGCTAATATTTCTTGCTTCTACCTTCCTCTCTCCACAATGATATATACTCAGTTTCCACTGTCACCAGTCAGACTGGGTTCTCTCATTGCCAACTATATTTGGCTCAGCAGAATTAGAATCAGGGGAGACTTTGGCTTGGTATTTTGTTAGTTTGTGTTGTATTGGAGATGGAACCTAGGGTCTTTCATATTCTGTGCGCAGCCACTACCACTGAGCTGCACCCTCATTACTGCTTAGGTCCTGTTTTGAATGTCGAGCTGTTCGTCATGGTTGTTCCTTTGTTTCTCACCATTTATTTGATATAGTTGTCCCAGGTGCTTGGTACTCTACTTTGCACACATGATAGACTCAGTAAACAACTCATTCATTTACCATTGTAAATTAATAAGATCATTGTTTCAGGTTATTGACGTCATGCAGTTTCTTTGTCATAAACATCACCATGCAGGTGAGAAGCCTAATGTTTGCCAGCATGAATTCCACAAATGGGGAAAAAAACTCAAGAAGAAAGTGTTAACTTACATCTCAGCAGACTAAGCACCTTCTTAGGCAAGTGCAGGTGGGATTGGATCTCTGACACCACATGCTATGCCGGCCCTGCCCCTGGTTGCACTGAGCCAGGTGTGGTAGTGCATGCCTGTAATCCTAGTGCTGGGGAGGCTAGACAGGAGGATCACTACAAGTCTGAGTTGCATAGTAAGGCCCTGTACAAAATGCATTAAAAACAAAAACTTATATCCATAACTGGAAAATACTAGGCAGTCAGTTTTCCTGTAATAATAAGGCCAGGATGCTGTGTTGATTGAATGTTGCTGTTAAAGTGCTACAAACTTCAGGTGAACCTGGCTTTGCTAGGCTTCGCTACTTGTGGTGTGACTTCAGGTAAAATACTTAGAAACTTTGCCTGAATCCTAGTGCTTCATCTTCCAAATGTAAGAAGCCCAACTTGATGGGGTAGTAGGGTTTAAATGAGAGAAGTAGTTGGAAGCCCTTGCCAAAAGCACTTGACATGAAGTAAGCACTCAATAACAGTAAATACTGTTGTCAAGAGAGTTGTTTTGAAATACATAATAGTTTTTCAATAACATGGAATCAGGTCTTTTTTTTTAGGTAATTCAGTGGTACAGCCCCCCCCCCCATACTGTAGTATTTTATACATACATACATTTAGGAAAGGAAGAGAGATAGTTTATATCCTTATAATATGTACACAAATTAACTGGTACCTTTTTTTTAATCCAGAGGTAAGGAATATTTTGCTGTATAAGTTCAGGCTCTTTTATGTTGAGTAGTTTATGACATTCATTGAGACATTTCTCTGGAGGTATTTTGTTGACTATACATAGAAATGCCTTTCTCTTCACAGTGAGATCTCTTTTTTTAATGTTACAAACATGGTTGATTTTTAAAAATACTAATGAATTGAACTGAAATTCACATTCTCTGATTTTCCCTTTGCATTTCTGTAGGTGAGACAGGAATTGGCAAATCTACATTAATGGACACTTTATTCAACACCAAATTTGAAAGTGACCCAGCTACTCACAATGAACCAGGTGTCCGGTTAAAAGCCAGAAGTTATGAGCTTCAGGAAAGCAATGTTCGACTGAAACTAACCATTGTGGATACTGTGGGGTTTGGAGACCAAATAAATAAAGATGACAGGTACGTCTTAGGATGTTGTGGGGATATTAATGGGTGAAGAGATAGTAGGACCTATCCTAGGTCCATTCAAGTGCTGACATGTTTGCAGTATTTTCTGATTGTGGGGCTTGTTCATTTATCACCTGAAAGATAAGGCATTCTTGTCCTCAAGGAAATTTTCTGAGCATATTCTTTTGTGAGATCAGCATCAGACCACGAAATTGAGTCTAGCTGTGATAAGCAGAAAAGGAATTTGTTGGGAGGAATAAAATATGCCATCCTCTATGTCATTTCTCTAGGAACATCTGATAGCCAGATTTGGGAATTTTCCCATTAAGAAAGTGAGAAATAACTGTCCCCTGCAGAATGTGGTAACAGAAGTGCCTGTTGTCTCCTGACTTTTGCTGTGAGGGACCCATGTGTCTAGAGGAGGCACCAGAACCTCCACATCTGTCCCATTCACCAAGTGCATTCACACTGAGCTCCTTGTGTGTGGCTCTCTGCCTGTTTCGTTCATTCTGTGATTCTAGGTCTTGCACAGCTGCATCTGTTGGCAGAAATTGAGCCACATCTAGAGTATTAGAGGAACAGATCCTAGAAGATGTGGCTAATGACATTAAAAAGTAAAAGAAATTTGGGTAAGCTTCCTAGACTCTGAGGCAGAATGTGGTGTTTGACCTAATACCCAAACACAGAATTGGATACACACTGAGTCATTGTGATTTTGCTTAGAAAGCTATTAGCCCAGGACTGGGGGGCAACAGTGTGTTCTGGGTTTTGCTAGTAAGAAGCTGTGGACATTGGGAATGTACCTGACTTTGAGAGGGGTGTGCAGTGTATTCTCTCAGGTGTTTTCCAGTGCTAGTATATGTGGAAGGTTGGGCCTCACTAGTATATGTGAAAGGTTGGGCCTCAAAGAGGGATTTGGTGAATATGTGGAGTGAGCCTCATATTGTTTTGGTGTCTTTTGGCAAAAGTGGTATTAGCCCTTAAAGTCCTACAGTAAAGAAAGCATTTTTATGAATGATCTGCTAGAAAAATGCTGATTGAGTTTCCAGCTGGCATAGGATCCTGACTCTGGTAATGGTGTGGTGTAAGGCCCTTGTGCTTGCTCCCATGTGGTGTCTAGGCAGCACTTTGGGTTATAGAACTTGCCAAACTGAGTAACAATTGGAGTCTCAGTCAAGCCTGGTAAAGTATTCAACTTAATTGGGTAGATTAAAGTTGTCTAAGCAGAGAAGATTTGTTAAGCCAGTTATGTAAAGAACGTAGGTCACCTAGTTAAGAAATTGAATATTTTTAAAAGCATTTTTGTCTAGTAATTTTGTATAGATCAAGGTTCCTAGCTCCAATTCACATTGCATATTCATTCATTAAAACTTTCATTCTTTTTTTTTTTTTTTTCTTTCGGCTGGCTCAGACTGCCTTAAGGATGGGGCTGGTAAGGCATGGGGATCTGGGAATCAAACCGTGGTCCCCTGTGCCTGACTGGGTTTGCCCCAACAGGTGCTTAAACAAACGGCTAACCCGCAAGCCCACAAAACTTTCATTCTTAACATAAACTTGGAGATGTAATTATAAAATAGTATGGTGAATTTTTAATGTATAAAAGACACCCCACTTGTAAAGCCACCTAAGTTTGGGTCTTCTGTATGAACTGCTATTTGCCCTTGCTTAGGGTGCTATTAATCCTTTAGACCTCCCGATGCAAATCCACATGTTAATCCTGCTCCCAAGATTGTGCTCATATTCCTTCCCAACAGCACCAGTCCTATTCAGTCTTTAGTTTGAATGTCATGATTTCTTTAAAATATATTCATTCTGAAGAGAAGTTTGGGTAACTTAAAAGTTCCATGCGTAAAAATCGTTCTAAACTGACTTCTTAATACATTGCATAATACATTGTTGAGCAGTGACAGCCTTACAGGAATGTTCCATACAATGGCCAGAATATAGAGGTCTGTCATGGTATGTTTATGACTCAGAGACTTCACTAGTGCCAGGTTTTTGGTTTTTAAACAAATTACCCTGAAGCCTGGCTGGGTGGTGCACATCTATAATCCAGTATTCAGGAGGCTCAGGCAAGAGGATGGCCACAACTTCAAATCCAGCCTGGCAGTGTCATAACTTCAAGGCAAGGCCAGCCTGAACTGCATAGTGAGAC